ATAGAATTTGGAATACATATCAGAAAAAATCACGACTAATCAGAGTTCATTGAGAAATGCAAGGATGGTTCAACGATAGAAGGTTAATTGATACAATAAACCACATTTTCTCTAATCTTGTCTTCTCATTTTATTTTGTCAATTTGATCTTCAATTACTGATATCCTTTTTTCCACTTGATTGAATCAGCTGTTGAAGCTTGTGCGTGCATCACGAAGTTCTCGTGCCATGGTTTTCAGCTCCATCAGGTCATTTAAAATCTTCTCTACACTGTTTATTCTAGTTAGCCATTCGTCTAACCTTTTTTCAAGGTTTTTAGCTTCCTTGCAATGGGTTAGCTCGGAGAAGTTTGTTATTGCTGACCTTCTGCAGCCTACTTCGACAAACTCATCAAAGTCATTCTCTGTCTAGCTTTGTTCTGTTGCTGGCAAGGAGCTGCAATTCTTTGGAGGAGATGAGGTGCTCTGATTTTTAGAATTTTCAGCTTTTCTGCTCTGGTTTCTCCCCATCTTTGTGGCTTTTATCTACCTTTGTTCTTTGATGTTGGTAATCTACAGATGGCGTTTTGGTGTGGATGTCCTTTTTGTTGATGTTGAAGCTATTCCTTTCTGTTTGTTAGTTTTCCTTCTAACAGTCACGTCCCTCAGCTGCAGGTCTGTTGAAGTTTGCTGGAGGTCCACTCCAGACCCTGTTTGCCTGGGAATCACCAGCAGAGGATGTAGAACAGCAAATATTGCTGCCTGATCCTTCCTCTGGAAGCTTTGTCCCAAAGGGGCACCTGCCTGTTTGAGGTGTCTTTCGGTCCCTACTGGGAGATGTTTCCCAGTCAGGCTACACGGGGGTCAGGGACCCACTTTGAGGAGGCAGTCTGTCCGTTCTCAGAGCTCAAACACCATGCTGGGAGAACCACTGCTCTCTTCAGAGCTGTCAGACAGGGACGTTTTAAGTCTGCAGAAGTTTCTGCTGCCTTTTGTTCAGCTATGCCCTGCCCACAGAGGTGGAGTCTATAGAGGCAGTAGGCCTTGCGGAACTGCAGTGGGCTCCTCCCAGTTCGAGCTTTCCTGCTGCTCTGTTTACCTACTCAACCCTCAGTAATGGCAGACGCCCCTCCCCCTGCCAGGCTGCTGCCTCACAGATTGATCTCAGACTGCTGTGCTAGCACTGAGTAAGGCTCCGTGAGCATGGGACCCACCGAGCCAGGCATGGGAGAGAATCTCCTGGTCTGCTGGTTGCTAAGAATGTGGGAAAAGCCCAGTATTTGGGCGAAAGTGTCCCGTTTTTCCAGGTACAGTCTGTCATGGTGTCCTTTGCTTAGGAAAGGGAAATCCCCTGACCCCTTGCGCTTCCTGAGTGAGGTGACGTCCTGCCTTGCTTCGGCTCACCCTCCATGGAGTGCGCCCAGTGTCCAACCAGTTCCAATGAGATAAATCAGGTACCTCAGATGGAAATGCAGAAATCACCTGTCCTCTGCATCAATCACGCTGGGAGCTGCAGACCAGAGCTGTTCCTATTCCCACATTTTCATATTAAAGCAAAAATACACACAATGGTCTCAACAGATGCAGAAAAGCCATTCATAAAATTTAATATTTCTTAATGATAAAAATCTGAGCAAGGTAAGGGCCAGGCATAGTGGCTCACACCTATAATCCCAGCGCTTTGGGAGGCCTAGGCAGGCAGATCACCTGAGTTCAGGAGTTCGAGACCAGCATGGCCAACATAGTGAAACCCCATCTCTATTAAAAATACAAAAATTAGCTGGGCAGAGTGGCATGCACCTGTAGTCTCAACTGTCTGGGAGACTGAGGCAGGAGAATTGCTTGAACCCAGGAGGTAGAGGTTGCCATGAGCCAAGATTGCACCTCTGCACTCCAGCCTGGGAGACACAGTGAGACTCCATCTCAAACAAAAATAATAAAAATAAAATAAAATTTAAAAACTCTGAACAAGGTAGAGAGAGAGAATTTTGACAAGATATCTATCAAAAACAAAAAGCTAACTTCACATTTAACAGTAAAACTTCAGAAGCACTCCAATGGAAGTCAGGACCAATATAAGGATGCTAGCTTATCTGTAAATTACATAACTGGCTATACAGAACTAAAGAGAATTTCAACCAAACCATCAGAACTAATTAAGAGTTTGAGATTATGCTGCATATAATATTTACATTAAAAAAATAGCATTCTGCCATACCAGTTAATAACCAACTGGAAAATGTAAAAAGAAAAAAGAAAGCCCATTTGCAACTACTACAGCAAAAATAATCTATGAATAAAAAATATGGGAAAAAATTTCATGGAGATAGTTTAAGTTTTTTTTTTTTTTGAGGCAGAGTCCCGCTCTGTCACCCAGGCTGGAGTGCAGTGGCGCGATCTCGGCTCACTGCAAGCTCCGCCTCCCAGGTTGCCGCCATTCTCCTGCCTTAGCCTCCTGAGTAGCTGGGACTACAGGTGCCCGCCACCGCGCCCGGCTAATTTTTTGTATTTTTAGTAGAGACGGGGTTTCACCGTGGTCTCGATCTCCTGCCCTTGTGATCCGCCCGCCTTGGCCTCCCAAAGTGCTGGGATTACAGGCATGAGCCACCGCGCCCGGCCAAGTTTTTTTTTTTTTTGAGATGGGAGTCTTCCTCTGTTGCCCAGGCTGCTGTGCAGTGGCATGATCTCAGCTCACTGCAAGCTCTGCTTTGTGGGTTCACGTCATTCTCCTGCCTCAGCCTCCTGAGTAGCTGGGACTACAGGTGCCCGCCACCACACCCGACTAATTTTTTTTTTGTATTTTTAGTAGAGACGGGGTTTCACCGTGTTAGCCAGGATGGTCTCGATCTCCTGACCTCGTGATCTGCTAGCCTCAGCCTCCCAAAGTGGATAATTATAAGATATTTAAGGCAAAAAGATTATCAAAATTCTCACCAATTGTAGCTTATACAACATTCATGGAATAAAAACTTACTTGATCCATAAATTCAGCTCAGTTCCAATAAAAATCCCAGTAAGTCTTTTTATAAAGGACTAAGTGTAACAAGGGCAATTACAAAGAACAGCAATGTGTGGAAACTCTTGACATACTACATATCAAAACTTATAAAATTCTGTATTAAGATAGTGTGGTGCTAGTAGAAAGTCAGAAAGTGCCCAAAACAGAACTACATATTTAGGAAAACTTGGTATGATATAGATGGCATTATAAACTGAGAATAGACTACTCAATAAATGGTGCTGAGACAATTAGTTACCTATATGGAAAAAAAATTAGATTCCCTACTTCACATTGATTTTTATACAAAGTTAGTTCCATGTGGATTAAATATATAAATGGGAAAACCAGAAGATTTAAAAGAAAACATACAGAAGAACCGTCCTGATCTAGGTAGACAGGATTTCTTGACCAAGACAAAAAGCACAAACAATAAAATACGACAGTTTTGGCAATATTAAAATCAAAAACATCTGTACAAAAAATTGAACATGAAGAGAAGCCACACAGAGAAAGATATTAGCAAAATGTAGTAACAAAAAAGGATTAGTATTAACAATACTCTTACAAATTGATAAGCAAAGATAAAGCCAATAGAAAATTGGGCAACAGAAAAAACAAAAACAGATATAAAAAATAATAAACATTAACATGTAACTATATATAACATATATATTACTGTTACATTGTTAAGTTTTAGATATAAAATGCATATAAATAGCACAAACCTAAGTACTAAAGTTAAAAAACATTACTGGGTATGCGAAACACCAAATAAGGACAATAGTCACTACTACAAAGAAGAATGGGAGACTTTAACTTTTATTTTTAAAAATGCGACATAAATTTGGCAAATATTAACATTTTTTAAAGTTGGGTAGTGAATAAACAGGTATTCTTACTCTCTGCTAGTCTCTGTGTTTAAAATATTTCATGATAAAGTGAGCAAATGGTTAATTTTACATAAAAAGAACTTTAACAGATGCAAAAAATAAAACCTCTTCTCATTCGACAAGCAGTCTAAATGGGGAAAAAAGAACCGAATCATAAAAAAGGTAGCAGATAATGTCACCGTGGCTTACCAGCCTAATTAAAGCTTATTACTTGTGATGTATATATCCTTATTAAACTAAGTAGTTACCGTGTTAAAGCATTTTAGTGTTTAAATAAAAGATTTCAGAACACAGCAGAAATACATTCCAATATGTTGGGGTTTTTACGCTTACGAAAATCTACAATAGTAGTTGATTTGACATTTGAATCACACCTATCTGAATTAAGATGTCCAGTACTACCAAACAAAAGCCACACGAGGCCATGAAACACTCCCAACTCTGCATGTTTTAGCCTTTTCAAAGTCCTAGAAACCAACTGATACTGATTAAAAACCAAACAAAAAACTATAGCCCTCAGAAAAATACATCATTTTGCACACAAAGGCCATCCATAGGCCTCAGATCTAGAACTCCTGCTTTAATGTTGCTTCTCCAATCTCAAACTGAAACACTGGCTGAGTTACGCTGGAAAAGAAGGCAAAGCGTTCGGGGCCTGAGTTCTAGTTGCGTAAAACCTTTCGGGCTTTCGGCAACTTCTCGAGAGGTTAACACCTTTAACGAGACTTTGTTCCCTACCGATGCCGTGGCTGGACAAATGCCTCTGTCAACTGCTACAGACCCAAAGTCTATGCTCTAAAGATAGTGAAGCCGTTCTGTCAAAGTGAAAACAGAATGGGTAGGTAGGAAGCCGCCCCGCTTTCTTTCAAGCACAGAGACCCAGAGAGACGCCCAGGAGCTCCCGAAAAAAACGTTGGTGCTTAAGAGTTGCCGGGGGTCAGAAACAGCTGTGAGACACTGAAAAATCCCCACTGGTAAGCGCCCCAACTCCACCTCGACTCCTACCCGCAAGGTTGGGGACTGGTTAAAAGGGGGGGAGGGAATACCTCCCCCAACAACCGCTTCAACCGCCTTCGGCCAAGTCCCCGCTCGGGCCCACCAACCTCCCAGCCTGAAGAATCCCACACTCACTGGAAAGTGGGGCCGGGTCCTGGTCCCGGTCCGGCTCCCGGAATTCGGCGGGTCTCCCAGGGTTTCGGGGGAGGTGGCGGCTGGGACGCCATCTCCTCCGCCTCCGCTCGGCTCCCGCTCCTAGCCCGGACTGTCCAGGCCAGCGTAGACCAGCACCTCGAGCGCAAGGCACAACGGGAAGAACACCGAGCCGTCCACCCCTCCCACCCTGGCAGTCAGAACAAGGCTTGAGTTACTTCGCCAGCTGAATCCATACAGCGAGAGGATGCTACTAATTTGTAGGAAGAAACACGTTCTTTGTATGTGCCCCAGAAAGAGCTCCTGTTCTAAATCTCAGGGTAAAGGCTCATCGATATTTCTGGCAACGGCTACGACTCCCTAGACGTCAGAGTCCGACAGAGGCTTTTCTGGGAGTGGACCAGTAAGGCTGGGAGTAAAGCCCCACGCACTCCTACAGTCGCGGGGGCAGTGGGGTGAGGTGGCAAAGTAGGCGATTTGACGGATTTCCCTACAAACAAGAAGGGAGAAGCTCACTTAGTCCTAGCGAGAACGGGCTGGTACTTTCGTTTAAAGCTCACGTTTCCTCGGGGAACAGAATTGCTAGACGCAATAGGTGCGTTGTCTTTAGTCTTCCCCGTTCCCTTCGAGGGCCGGAAGGGGTTAAATCTCAGGCTCCGGCGTCTGGGGAGAAGGTGAGGCGGGTACGTATGAGGTGAAGGAGTGCAGACTGGGTGCAGAAGAGGTGTGGCGAGAGAGAGAGGTCATTTCTCTCCTGCTGGAGCGGCTTTGTTAGCAAAGGAGGGGTGAGTGGGAAGTTTGTTGCACCTGACCGAAGGGGGAAGGGCTTGCTTGGCCAAAACTGAGGCTTGAGGTTAGATCTCGGGATGAACTTTTCAAGAGTCCACAGTAGATTCCATAGCTGAATGTTTCAGAAGCCCAGTGAAGTGTGATCACCTTTTTCCCCGTAAATCCACACCCCCAGCCCCACGCCGCGGTACGAATGACACCCTTCGGTAGGGAAAGGAGTTTAAAAGATCTTAGGATATGAGACTCAGGCAGTTTTTTCTCACACCCTGCTCGTTTCCTCGTTTTCGATGACTAGTTTTTGTAATCGTCCAGGAGGTGAAAATAAAGTCCTTCCTCTCCTCCAGTAAGCCAGAGACTGGGCTAGTTATCCTTGGTCTGGGGAGGAGGGATTCAGTCCTCCTAGGGAGCCTGACACGTGAAAGGCGGCTGTGTAGCAACTTGTTAGCGTTGTTTCTATAAAACAAACACGTAAACGAAAAGCAAACATCTTGAGGGTAACCAACACTGGAAAACTTACATTATGGGATGCCTTTTTCAGGGCTTGCTTTCAAGCATAATCTAATATGGACAACCGATTTCTGATGTCTTATGAAATCCTGACATTTTATTACCTCACGATGAAACAATCAAATTTAAGGCGTAATGTGTTTTCTCCTTTTAATGTTGATAGATTGTTGGTAGGTGAAATTGAGAAGTTGATAGATTGTTAGGAGGTGAAAATGATGTTGAGAGGTTTGTAAATTCATAGCTCGTTTATTAACACACATTCAAAAGAGGTCTTTTTGTTTGTTTGGGGTCTATTTTTAGACCTCTTCAAATTACTCAGGACTGGAAGTTTTGTAATTCTCATCAATCAGGTTTGGGAACTTCTCAGAGCCAGGAGTTTGTAATGTGTCGTTTATTCGCTTTGCATGATACCTTTGTTCTTGTGAATTTATTGGAGAAATAAACATGGTCTTATAGCCATGGAAAATAAAATAAATTTTAATATAGCTATTTAAGTCTCTAGGGAAATCATTAAGTGTCCTTTTAAAGTGCTTATTGATTTGTTTATTGGAAGAGGGTGTATTTGTGTTTCTTTTTGAGTTAAATGTTACTTCTGAATTAAGTAAAAGTCTTAAGCTAAACTAATGGAGAAAAAATAACTTAGAATAACCGGTGAAACAGAAACAGTTTCTCTGTGTATGTAGTCAGAGATGCACTGTAAATGCTTATATTCAGCCCCTCACAGCATCCAATCTTTTCTCTGCATCAAACTAGATTAAATGGACTGGGAAAAGGGATACAGATCACTAGTAAATAATAATGACTTGACCTTGACCACACAGATTTTATTTATTTATTTATTTATTTATTTATTTATTTATTTATTTATTTTGAGATGGAGTCTCGGTCTTTCGCCCAGGCTGGAGTACAGTGGTGCGATCTTGGCTCACTGCAACCTCTGCCTCCTGGGTTCAGGCGATTCTCCTGCCTCAGCCTCTGGAGTAGCTGGGACTACAAGCACGTGCCACCATGCCTGGCTAATTTTTTGTATTTTTAGTAGAGATGGCATTTCATCGTGTTAACCAGGATGGTCTTGATCTCCGGACCTTATGATCCGCCTGCCATGGCCTTCCAAAGTGCTGGGCTTACTGCAACCTCCACCTACTGGGTTCAAGCGATTCTCCTGCCTCAACCTCCCGAGTAGCAGGGATTAAAGGCACGTACCACCACACCTGGCTAATTTTTGTATTTTAATAAAGATGGAGTTTCACCATGTTGGCCAGGCTGGTCTTGAACTCCAAACCTCAAGTGATATGCCTGCCTTGGCCTCCCAAAGTGCTAGGATTACAGGTGTGAGCCACTGGGCCTGGCCAGATCTTCATTGTTTAGAGGTTGTTTTCCACATATTCTGTCCTCTTTCTTGAAAATACCATGGAGCCCAAATTCACTTAGGCAACCCTAAATACATGTTTCTCAATTCTGGTGTCTCAAAGTTGTCACCTAGTCAGCTTGTATGGTGTGTCCATACAAGCCTGATTTTTTTCTCCCTGCTGACTCACATATTCACCTGAATTAGAATTCAGCCAGATGCAATCTGTTTTTAGTCGTCCTGGCTGCTGAACTGATTTTTATGGTGAAGAGTTCTATGTAACTATATACCTGTCTTCCTCATTATTTTGTGCAAGAATCTTGATAAGTGGCCCCAAACATTTAGCAACTTGCAAGTAAGTAGTAAGTTTTAGAGGTGTGGAAAACACAGACTAGAAGAATCACATCTTTATACTAAGCTGTTGGGAAGAGCTTCACCCTTCCACAAATTTTAAGCAAGTTCATTTGAATTATGAAACTGCACAAATTAAAAGATGCCACTGTGTTTCTATGACCACAGTTATAGCATGCCACAAGATTGCCATGCAATGATTATTTTCTAAAATATTGGTAGTTGATCATTTTAAGGTAATATGGACTGTTTCACTAATTAGAAGATCTAGTTTTGCTGAACAAATTAGGTTGTTTGAATTTTTAGTACCCCTCCTTCCTGGTAACAGGAGACAGATTTGCCCTCATTCTCTATATAGTATTTTTTTTGTGAGTTTATTTAAATTGCAAAAATTGGCAACTTAAGCAAACCGTTGCTCTCAAATACTATGTACTTAATTTGTTTTTGTTGGAGGTTTTTTGTTGTTGTTGTTTGTTTGTTTGTTTGAGATGGAGTTTCACTGTCATTGCCCAGGCTGGAGTGAAGTGGCACAATCTTGGCTCGTTGCAACCTCCGCCTCCCAGGGTTCAAGTGATTCTCTTGTCTCAGCCTCCTGAGTAGCTGGGAGTACAGGCACACGCCAACACACCTGGCTAATAGTTTTTGTATTTGTAGTAGAGATGGGGCTTCACCATGTTGGCCAGGCTGGTCTCAAACTCCTGACCTCAGAAGATCCACTCACCTCGGCCTCCCAAAGTGCTGGGATTACAGGCATGAGCTACTGCACCTGACCAAATTTGAGTAATATTTTTAGATTTTATGACTGGCTTTGGGGAAAGGGAGTTCTGGTTTCTATGACTCACCTTGAGGAAGAGGGACAGTAGTTTTTCTATGGCTAGTCTGGGGAAGAATGAGACTGAGAGACAGGAGGGCAGAAGGTCAGAGAAAAAGTTTTGCTTCTGAGGCTGCTGCTGAGGCCTTCATTTTGGGGTATGGCTTTCTAAGCCCCACCACCAGCAAACTCATTTTTAATTTCTTATAGGAAAAGTTTAATGAATTAACTTTGTACAATACTGAATGGTACAAAACAAAGAGCAAAATTTCACCCTGTACCTCTGTTTTCATTACCCTCTTCAGAAGCAACCATTCTTGATTATTTTTATTTCTTTTGATCAACTTAGTTATATTGATATATTTTATCATAATCCAGAATGCTAAACTAAATTTCTTAACAATTAGAAACCTTTACTGGATCCATTTTATAAACTTCCTTCAAGTTTGTATTTTATAATATGTGTATAATGAAAGGGGCTTGGTTAGAGAGTACACAATAGTGCTTTTCAAATGAAAGCTAGTTTTTATCCCTAAACATGATGACTTGTCTGTGACAGTAAAATGCAGAAGCTGATCATTAGTTTTACTTTTTTTCTTTCTAGTTATAATTATTCAGTATGTTCCCACTGACTGAGGAAAACAAGCATGTGGCCCAGTTGTTGCTCAGTACTGGTACTTGTCCAAGATGTATCTTCAGATTCTGTGGTGTGGATTTTCATGCACCTTACAAACTTCCATACAAGGTATTTTCTTCTTTTTTTTTCAAGTTAAGAGAAGGTTCTCTATATTTTACAATGAATGCCTGTACTTTTGAGAGCAGGTATATATTCATAACTCTTTTTTAAATTAAAAATCTATAATAAAATGAGTGATAGTCTTAATTTTGGAATAGTCTCAGAAATGTAAGTTCCTTCTTAAGTGATTGTATCTAGGTATCTAACATTTAGTGTAATGGGATCTTTGTGGAGGAACTCCCTGGTGCATTTAACGTTTGTATAGATGTTTCCTAAAAGATATCTAAACACAATATCACAAAATACTGCTTCCTCCCAGGAGGGGCTAATATTCCTTACATGTCCTACTAAGTGGAAGCATTGTGGGTATGGTTGCCTTTTTCTGTTTTTTCCCATTTTCTGTATTACTAGTGGTATTTATAAATAGGTATTTGGAGTCCTTTAGAAATAAATGCTTATCATAATCATTATTACTGTTATTAATGACAAAAGTAATATACAGAGATCTTTGACATTTATGGTGATATACAGAGAGCTTTGACGTTTAATATAATACTTTTTGCATAAAATGTGTAACATTTATGAAATGTTTGATTCTAAAAATGATACTCTTTT